GGGAACCGCTGTTCTACAGGGCAATCAAAGCTGAGCAGCGTTAAATCTTACTCTGATGCTGTTCTTGACAGTATCACTATGAGGACAGTGTGTAGAAGAGCCACAGTTTGTGTGGTTCTCCTGGGAGGCGCATGGGTAACAGCACAAGTTTGGGGTCCACCACTGAACTGGAGAGCGATTCATTTAGCCCTCAGCCAGAAGGAGGGGTGATATGGTAAGGGCATTTGGGTAACGTAAGGGAAAGAAAAATAAAGACTCCAGAACATCCTCAACCAAAAAAGGGGAGAGTGGATTAGAACACAGAACATAAAAGACTGGAGAAGAAGAAATAATTAGATGTACAAAGTTTAAGGGAGAGGGAAAAGAAAGCCAGAATCAATAATCTTTCAGGAGACTATAATGAAGTGAAACCTTTCCCAGTGCGACAGTCCAGGTTTCTACATGCACCTATCACAGACCCTGTATAAGCAGCACACTGGAAACAGGAGACAGGTAACTTCTGTGTCTTTCCTCACCAACAATGTAACTTTTTTTAGTGTTCTTTAAAAATCTCCTATTCGAAAGGGTATAGTTTAGTTAAAGTAAAACCTTCACTATGGGTTTCAAGCTATTAGGAAAAACAACTCACTACCAGAGTAACTGTACTCACCACTCTGATTCTGTGCCCAATAGCCTTGGCAGGAAGATTGGATCGGAACTTGGCACGAACCATGCCACTGTTTCCATGGGCACGTGTTACCTTCCCCCAGATCACTCGTGTTCTGTTGGGCTTCCCACCAGGAGTCACGGTGTTGCTAACAAACAGAAGACAGTTACCTCAGCATTCCACTCCTAACCTAGCATCAGCCTACTCAATGGCATATTAAAAACACCATCTTTTAAAAGAAGTTTCCTTCCCTCTATGTCATGGGCCCTTGGAATAGGACTATTTATAAGGTCACCCACAATGCAGATTTTCTTTCATCCAATCTAAGAGAAGAGCACATTCTAAAGAGACTTTTTGGTGATCTCAGTGTATGAATAGGATGTTTGGACTGGAAATACAGCAGGGGAATGGGTTAAAACCCAAACAGATGCACAGAAACGTGTCTGGACATTTATCCCATCAAACTGTGAATAGACCTGATCATCCCTTTACAAAATACCCTTCAAGCACCAGTCTTCAACCTGGTTTATATTAATCCATTAACGTAGAGAGTTAAATCAAACTAAATAGATAAAAGCCATGTGGCAGACTTGTTGAATTGTGTCAAAACAGAAATTTACACCAAATTAACTAAATCTATTCAAAAAGCAACAACCAATACTGCATACTAGGGATGTTAAAGCGTAGTCAACTATACAATTAACTGATAAACCTGGGTTTATTGGTTAATCCTGTCGACTACAAGCATTCCCCACTCCCTCTCTTGCTGCCTCAGACACAGAGGCAGCAAGGGAGAAAGGCAGAAGCGAGCTTTCAAGCCAGCTACCCACAAGCACTGGATCCCACAAAGCTGCTTCCTCGTCCCCACTGGTGTTTCTGGTAGAGAGTAGGGATGTTACATAACATGTAATTGAATAGTTGTGTAACTGCATTCAATTTTAGTAGTTACACAACTATTCGACAGTCCCTGTGGGCGGGGCTGGCAGCCAGTATACTCTAGGCCCCACTCCTGGGGAGCCCCTGCCACACTATGGCAGCAGGGCAGAGGCAGCAGCCCCTGTTCGGGGGGGGGTCTGAGATCCCCACAGATAGGGGCTGCTCTGTGGGATGCCTGAGCAGCATCCCCTGTCCCCAACCAGTAAGGGGGCGGGAGCGAGGTGGCTTCACGGAGCACCAGGGAGCTGGCTTGTATGAGGCAGTATGGGAAAGGGGAGAGAAATGTCTGTAGTGGACAGGATAAAACCAGGCTCATCAGTTAATCATGTAGTTGTCTAATGATGACATCCCTAGTAGAGAGGCAGCATTGCAGAGGGGGCAGGCATGAGCCGGTACACGGGGGAAGCTGGTTCTCCACGTGTGCCAGCTCTGCGGAGGCACCTGCCTCCCTCCGCTGCCTCCCTGAGAAGCAGCTGGAGGGGAGGGGGAAGCTGCTGTCTCTATCAGAAGCAGCAGTGTATGTGTGTGGCCACAAACAGAGGATGTGCTGTGGGATGCCGAAGCAGCTTGTCTGTGGGGAACTTAGGCCCCCCATGGATGGGGCTGCTGCTGCCCTGCACTGACAGCAGTGCAGGGTGGCAAGGGGCTCCCTGGCACTGGGGGCGGGAGCACACTGGCAGCTGCCCCCACCCTGGGGACTACTGAATTTAATAAACACAACTAATGTGATGTGGTTACACAATTATTCAATTGCACGATAGCTAACATCCCTATTATACATTAGAATTCTTTTTCTACATGCATGTGGGTAAAACTGCTACATATAAGCCTAATAGAGTGACTGCATAATTTTGTTTCTATAATTTCAAAACAGTATTCTCAGAACTCAGCAGTTTACAAATTAAAATAGCGGCTTGTAACTCAAAACACGTAGCTTTTGAGGTATCAACTGTACAATAAATTAATATGCCAATTTTATATTTGACAGCACTGTAAAACACAGTGTATTTCCCCTTTGATGTGTAATAATGTGCATATTTGCTATCTTTAGGTGCCATATATTAACATTCTATGCCACTAGGAGCACATTTCAATTTAAAGACACATGCAACAGTAATGAGACTTCACATCATGTAATAAGTCATGAATTCAGATTACCCGCATTAAAACACACACACACACACACACACACACTGCACAACCTACTTCTATTAAAACACAAGAAGCCACTATGCTCTATGTGCATGGCAAACTATCAAAGGGGAGAAGAGGGCTTCTCAGTGCGCATGCGCTGATGCCCCCAATTCTTCTAGATGTACTAATCTAAAAGTTTTCAGTCTGAGACACCCCACTGACTTTAACCATGGAGGAAAAAAAAAGGTCTCTAGAGATGTTCTGGCCCTTGAATTGAATCAAGAAATACAATGGAAGCTGGAGAGTCTCTGGAGCACAGGGGGGGAAAAGCGACCTCTGTATGAAAAACTTCAAATGGAAAATTACATTGTGCACTAGTGTGTGCTGTAAAGCTGTGGTTTTCAACCTTTCCCCATTTGCAGTCCCCTTAAACATTTTGATTACAGGTGCAGACCCCTTAGGAAATTTAGACACAGTCTGCAAACTCCCAGGGAGCCACTGGACCACAAGTTGAAAACCACTGCCTTAAAGTAATCCAGTCAGGAAGTAACAAAGGCTCAGCCATAGGAAACTAGATCCACATCAATAGAAAAAGTCAACCTCCTAACTAAGCAAAGGGAAACTTATCAAACCCATAGTACGTGTAGGGTGTCCATCACTACTGCAGCAGCAATTACGCTCAACAGAGATACGCATGCCCAGAAGCAGATGAGCATTTATTAAATCCCTTCAGACTACAAATCAAACCCTCACTGAAGTGGACTGATACCTCTGCCACTTACAGCACCATAAAGTACCAGCGAAGGACACTTCAGTCCCATCCATTACTGACTGGATTTCAGTTCACACCAGTGTCCTGGAGGGGTGAAGATTCATGACCAACCCATCCCTTTTACCAGTCATTTCCCTCCTAAAGCAGCATTTCTCCAAGAGCAATCAAACTGAGGTTCGACACATGATCATTTAATAACTGAATTAATGTGGTGCCTAAAATTGTGAAACTGAATACTCAATCCCCAAACTCAATCCAGTCTTGCACAAATCTACTTGGCCATTTTATTTTGTTTCACCATTTTCATGGCAATAGGTATACAAATGCATTTATGGTTGCTTGACAAATATTCATGACAATTTTAAAAGGCCTATTTAATATAACAATAAGGAGCTCAGATACTTACTTTTTAGCTTTATATACATAGGCACACCTCTTGCCCAAGTAGAATTCAGTCTCGTCACGGGCATAAACGCCTTCAATTTTCAGAAGGGCAGTGTGCTCTCTCTGGTTTCGGAGGCCACGCTTATAGCCCGCAAAAATGGCTTTGGACCACAGTCTAGGAAACATTGAATATATTAATGAATTGCCAAACACTAAAGCATATTGCATGCAAATAAGATTTCTGAACAAAACTTTCTGAAATAGATACAAGGATAGAAAGCATATAGGGAAAAAGGACAGTACACTTCCCCTCACATGAGCAAATTTATCCCCAATTTCACAAAGTGCCCAATTTCCTTACCACAAGACATCAATTATAAAAATATTGCACTAGCCTTCTTCCCTCCTGTACTCAAGAGACACTAAAAAAGATGGATGGTTCATGTTTTTAAAAACATGACCACTTGTCTCAGTATCCCAAAGGAACACAGAATCTTCTGTACACAGTGAAATTAAGTCATCATGTCAAACAACCTAATTAAAATGTGTTTTTTCCTCCCTCTCCCTCTCTACAATGAGATCAGAATCGCATCCCAGAGTCAATGAGCAAGAGAGAACACAACCATGTCCACTATGAACACTGCAAGTCCTTAGTACAATTCAGGACACTTAAAATATGTTTTAAGATCCTCAATATTGATAAATGCAAAGTAATGCACAGTGGGAAACAATCATTACTATATACATAACAAAAAGATATATTGAATTGGGAAAGGAACATAACTGGCCATTTAAAATTATTAGGAGTATGGAACAGTTTCCATATGAGAAATTAAAGAGAAAGCGCCTTAAAGAGACTAATATAAGGGCTTATGGGGCAGATATAATAGTGGTC